CATCCGGACTCGTAGGTTAAAGTCTAGTATCCGGACAGACTAGTATCCGAAGTGGTAGATCGAAACCCAGAGCAGATCATACTCCAACGGGATCCGGAATGGTAGAGTAAAACTAGTACCGGTTCAGACTTCCAAGCAATCCGGACTGGTCGATCGAAACCCAGAGTGGATCATCTCCCAAGGGATCCGGACTGGTACGGTAAAACCCGGGCTTCCATCGGATCCGGAATGGTAGAGTTAAACCCGGAGCGGATCATACTCCCCAGGGATCCGAACTAGTAGACTAAAAATTGTATCCAGATAGATTAGTATCTGGACGGGTAGATCAGAACCTGGAGCGGATCAGACTTCAAAGGTATCCGGATGATAGAGTAAAACCTGGACCGGATCAGATTCCCATGAAACCCAGACTGGTAGAGACCAGGATTGCCTCAGACCTCCAAAGGATCCAGAACTGTAGAGTGAGTCCCAGAACGGATCAGACTTCCATGGCATCCGGACAGGTAGGGTGAAACCTAGACCAGATCAGACTAACATGGGATCCGGACTGGTATAGTTAAACATGGAGCAGATCAGACTTCCTTGGGATCCTGACTGGTAGAGAGAAACACGGACTGGATAACACTTCCATGGGATCAGGAATGGTATAGTGAGTCCCAGAGCGGATCAGACTTCCTTGGGATCCGGACTAGTTGAATAAATCCCCGAATGGATCAGACTTCCATGGGACCCGGGCTGGTAGAGTAAGACCCAGACCCGATCAGACTCCCATGGGACCAAACAGGTAGAACGAAACCTGGAATGGATCAGACTCCTATGGGATCCGGACTGGTAGAGTAAGAGCAGGAGTTGATCAGACTTCCACGGGATCCAGACTGGAAGAATAAAACCCAGAGCAGATCAGACGCTCATGGGACCGGACGGGTAGAGCGAAACCCGGAGACGATCAAACTCCCATGGGATCCGGACTGGTAGAGCGAAACCCAGAACGGATCAGACTCCCATGGGATCCAGACTAGTAGAGCAAAGCCCAGATCGTATCAGACTATATCCATATCCATATATCCATAGATATCCATAGGACCCTAACTGGTTGAATAAAAACCGAAGCAGATCAGAGTTTTGGGGGATCCAGACCGGAAGAGTGAAATGCATAGTTTCAGACTTTAAAAGAGCTGCTCAGACTTCCAAGGGATCCGGATTTGTAGAGTAAATCCCGGAGTGGATCAGACTTCCATCTTCCAGACTGGTAGAGTGAAACCTGTAGCGGATCAGACTTACATGGGGTCCGGACTGGTAGAGCGAAACCAGGACCATTTCAGACTCCCATGGGATGGACTGGTAGAGCGAATCCCGGAGCAGATCAGACTTACAAGAGATCCAGAATGGCAGAGTGAGTCCTGGAGAGTATCAGACTTCCAAGGGATCCGGACTGGTAGAATAAATCCCTGAACGGATCAGACTTCCATGGAACCAGATCAGATTCCCAGATCCGGACTACAGGCGTAAAACCCGTACCTGATGAGATTTCCAAGCAATCCGGACTGGTAGAATAAATCCTGGAGTGGATCAGACTTCCAAGGGATCCGGAAAGCTAGAGGAAAACCCAGAGCGGATCACACTTTCATGGGACCCGAACTGGTAGAGTAAATCCTGTAGCTGATCAAACTTCCAAGGGATCCAGACTGGTAGAGTAAAACCCAGAGTGGATCAGACTTCCTTGGAAGTGTTTACAACGTATATCAGGATATTGGATTTTAGGGTTACTACCTGTATGTATTAAGTAGACTTACAGAACAGTTCTGCCATTCATTAGTGGAAAACAATCATAAAATTAAAAAAATAAAATGCAGGAGGATTACACTATACTAAACAAAGTGCTCCACATTTAATTGAAAATTCTGATATTTCAATTGTTAGGAATATTAGCAATTGAGTTTGTATACAAAAGACCTTCGGAATGTAACCTCTTGCCACAACAACAAATCTTTATGCTACTGTCAAATAGGCAAAGATGGCGCCATTCAATGGTGACTTCTCCCGTGTAGCTCTCTCGTTTATGTTGTTTATTTACGTGTCTCGTTTTATATGCAAAAAATACATGTGCGACCATTACATAGACTGACAAACACTCCTGGACTTGAGATTCAGAACTTAGGATCAGTGAATTGAAAGTGCCCGTTTTTTTTTGTGAAGCACAGAGCAAACAGGGACACGACCGCAAAACGAAGCGGGGTAAGAGAATCCACGTATTAGCGCAGATCCAGAAGTGTGCCTGCCGGTCCCTCCTTTCCAGCATCCTGCTTGCAAATGTGCAATCACTGGACAGTAAGATCGATTAACTTCACTGTCACATCAACTCGGTGCGACAAGAGACTGCTGCATCTTCTTTTCACTGACACCTGGCTGAAACTTAACGTTCCCGATGCCACTGTACAACCCACTGGATTCACACTGTATAGAGAAGTCCACACAGCAGATTCTACCGGCAAGGAGAAAGGAGGTGGAGTGTGTTTCATGATTAATAATCTTTGGTGTAGTGATGTAGAAATCCTCTACAGATGTTGCTAATCTAATCTGAAATACCTCACTATTAAATGTCGCCATTTCTACCTACCAAGGGAATTTACGGCTGTTATTACGACTGCTGTGTACATTCACCCGCATGCCAATACTAAATTGGAATTCAGCGAGCTGTACAGTGTCATCAGCAAATACGAAAACATGCATCCGGATGCTGTTTCTATTGTGGCGGGGGACTTTAACCACTGTAACCATAAAAAAAGTATTACCAACCTACTTTCAGCACATCTCCACTAGAGGGAATAACACACTGGACCTCTGCTATACCACCATTAAAGGAGCATACCGCTCCATTTTACGACCACATTTCAGGAAGTCTGACCACGCCTCTGTGCTCCTTCTTCCTGTTTACAAGCAGAAGCTAAAGAGCACTCCCTGCAGTAAAGACTGTGCAGTGCTGGTCAGACACTGCTGAGCAAGAACTCTCAAACTGGTCAGTGTATATTCAAAGATTCATCCACTGATCTAAATGATTATACAGAGGTAGTCACATCCTGTGTCAACCATTGTTTGGATAGATGTGTTCCTACCAAGATCCGGATATATCCAAATCAGAAGCCCTGGATGAACAAAGATGTTTGCTCTGACCTTGAAGCATGGTCTGCTGCCTTCCAATCAGGTGACAGAGAACTGTATAAAAAATCAAGGTATGACCTGGAGAAAGCTATAAAACTCACAAAGCAGGTATACAAGGACAAATTAGAAAAACAGCTTGGGGCAACTCAAGGCACATGTGGCAAGGCTTTCCTCCACTGAAGCATCTCTACCAGATGAGATGAACACCTTCTACTCCAGTTTTAAAGCTCAGAACATCAACCTGCTATCAAGGCTCCCTGTGAACCAGGGGATTTTTGTGTTACAGCTCTGTAAACATGAGGTGTGTAGAGCCTTTAAGAGAGTGAAAACCCACAAAGCAGCTGACCCAGATGGTGTCTCTATACACTTTGTTCACCTCCAACTGTACAGCCACGTACAGTAGCAACCACATGATTAAGTTCGCAGATGACAAAAATGCTCCACCAACAATCTGGCCCTTGGTCAACAACACAAAAGAACTTATTGTGGACTTCAAGAGACCAGAGTGAGTCACACCCCAATCAGCATCAATTGAACAGCAGTGGAAACTGTCAGGTGCTTCAGGTTCCTTGTCCTGCATATCTCCACCATCTTGGCTTGGTCTAACATTGTAACCAGTCTGAAGGTGGCACAACAGCACCTGGAAGCAGTTCCTCATGACCTTTTACCACAGCACCATAGAAAGTGTCCTCACTAGGGGTATCACTGTGTGGTACAGCATTGTGGTACAATGTATGACAAAGACACATTACAAAGGGTTGTGGCAAAGATCTCATCAATCCGTGAAATCTACACCATTCACTAGCACAATAAAGCTCTATCCATCATTCATGATCCCTACCATCCCGGCCACAAAACTGTTCTCCCCCCTGTGCTCTGGCAAACGGTACCGCAATATTAATGCACAGACTAGACTTAAGAACTGCTTCTACCCTATGACGCTACGCATGCTCAACAGCTAACTGCAATGACTCAGACTCAATGCACGTCTGCATGGTCGACCATGTTTTCTTTTACTACTACATATTTATTGTTCTGTTTGTTATTGTGTTTTTAATGTTCTATCTATATTGAGCAGTGTTATCTGCTGTACTGTGCATGTCCAGAGAGATCTGCATGAATAAGAATTGCTATGTTCGCATGGTAAGAAACTCCTCTACTCTACTCAAATTACATAATTTCCTAGTCTACATAGAATCCATTATCTTTCTATGCTGCAAAAAGTATGTGAGCCTTTAGATTTAGTAACTTGTGGAACCTCCTTCAGAAGCAGAGACCTCAACCAAACCTTTGCTATAATTGCTGATCAGTCTGTACAGAAGTTTAGGGGTATTTTGGCCTATTCCTCTTTACAGAAATGTTTTGGTTCATTGACATTTTTGATTCACTGATCTTGCATGAAGAGTTTTCTTCAGGTCATGCTGCAGCATTTCAATTGGCTTAAGGTCAGGACTCTGAGTTGGCCATTCCAAAATATGAAATTACCTCTATATGAAATCACCACTTGTCTAAGCCATTCTGTTGTAGATATACTCCTGTGTTTAGGATCATTGGCATGCCACATGACAATGTGGTGACTGTTCCAAAGCAGAACAACACAGCTATTTTTCTGGATTAAAGGACAAACAGAACTGCCTTGTGAATTTGACTTTTAAACTGTATTGCTCAGAAATGGTGGAACCATTGTCTAGTTTCAGGTGTATGAACCACCTGCTAGTTATTCAATTTTAATCTGGCCTAGGTTTCAGGACGCCCAGGGAGAGAAAATGTTTAAATTTAAAAGTTTCCCAGCTTGACAGCTTCATGAACAGATGAAACAAACTATGAAAGGAGTACCAACACCACTGGAAACAAAATGACTTTATTATTACTAAAGAGCTCTCACAAGTTATTCCTGCATTCTGAAATGTACACATGGAATGAAGGATACATAAAAAAATATCAAGGGAATTACCAACGATCTTGATTGAGAGCACAACGCCCTGCTTCCTCTCCAAACACATCCTGTTTTATTCAAATTTGATTAAATTCATCAACTTGAGTATAGGGCAGGGCTGTCCATTCCTGGTCCCAAAGAGCTGGTGCGTTTTCACCTCAAATCAGCTCTTAATAAGCTAAATCAGCTGCTTATGGATTTAGCTGGACTAATATCACAGATTTCCCCTGCTCTTCACATGCTGCAGTGTTAAAGAGACACACCAGCCCTTCAAGACCAGGATAAGACACACACTGGTTGAGGAGGTACCAAAAAACACCAAATTTCAAATAATTGTTCCAAGGATTTAAGGGATGACCAAACAAAAACTAGCTGGATTGTGGCGTTCCTAGTTCTAGCTCCCTTTCTAAAATAAATACAGGCTACAAACCAGCAACACTGTATCTGCTTTCCTTAGAGAGAAAGCCAAGAAATGCAGCCCTTAAAGAGACACTTGTTCTCTCACACACACACACACACGCCGATCTTGCTCTATCGCAGCCCCAGCTTCTTCTTCTCCTTCTGTTTCTTCCTCACGATCTCCAGGTTGCGATCCTTCCACATGCTCTTGCGCAGCTTGATGGGCCGGCTTCCCACGTATTTCCCTAGGTTAGAAAGACCAGAGCGACAGGTAGAGAAATGAGAGAAGTGGACAGTGAGGGTGAGCTTAGCAGCAAAGTGAGCCACAGTCACACAGCAGGGACACAAAGAACAGGACCATGCATGCCTTGATTCAGGAGAATCACACTCCTGTTAGGCTGTCTTATTGATACTTTGGCACCAATGGGGAAGGCTGCCGTCATGCGAGATCCCATTTGTCTTTGTTTATTTTTTTACTTTGTTGTTTTTTGCAATGCTAACTGCACACGTTGTTTGCTCGGTGATTAGATATGACTGACAAAACACTTATGACATAAGATAGACTATTGGCACAGTTAAAATTACACCAATAATAACTGTTGACCACTTGGACTGTGGCGTTTTACCTGGACCTGGAAGGAGGCGGCGTAGCAATCGTCCCCCACTCCCAAGTACACGTTTTGCTAATGTTCAGTCACTGGACAATAAGCTGGATGAACAGAGAGTAAGGCTTGCTTCCCAATGGGACATTAAGAACTGCAATGTGCTGGCGTTTACTGAAACATGGCTTGACAAATCTATTCCGGACTCCATCAACCTAACAGGAGGATTTTCTATTCACCATGAGGACAGAACAATGGATTTAGGCAAGAGCAAGGGCGGAGCAGTGAGGTTCATGGTAAACAATTCCTGGTCCACAGACCTGGAGATTATTTCAACGTTATGCTCTCCGCATCTTGAACATCTGACAATAAAATGTCGCCCTTTCTAGACGCGGACCCCAGGATTATTGTTCGCACATACCCAAATCAAAATCCATGGGAAAATGGCGAAATACCCGCTAAGCTCACAGCTATTAAAAAAGTTAAATAGAACTATAGAGTTAAATTAGTTATATTATCACTGCTGCAACACCCGGATCACGTGGAATGGGATATGCACCATTACAGACTATAAAACACAACCCAGCTATATTACATAACAGTCTGCCTTTCTTCCTGATGAGCTAAATTCATTCTATGCTCGGTTTGAGGTCAATAACACAGAACTAGCCAAGTGGATCTCAGTAACCCAGGGCAAACATCCACTCATTGTATCTAGAGCGGATGTGTGTTAAGTTTTTAAAAAGACTAATTCACACAAGGTTTCTGGCCCTGATGCTATCCCTGGCCATTTTCTGAAGGCATGTGCAGACCAGTTGGCAGATGTCTTCACGGACATATTTAATCTTTCCCTTGCTCAGTCCACAGTTCCCTCCAGCTTTAAGAAAACCATAATTGTTCCTGTTCCTAAGAAACTTAGAGTTAGTTGCTTGAATGACTACCACCCTGTTGGGTCATCAGGTATTATGAAGTGCTTCTAGCAGTTGGTCAAAGCACACATCATATCCTCACTGCCTGACACCCTGGACTCATTGCAATTTGCATATCATCAGAATAGATCAACACAGGATGCTATCACTAGTGCCCTTCATGCTGCCCTCTCACACCTGGATAAGAAACTGCCCCACCACATTACCTGCCTCATCACAACTTTGCAACACAGTCTTAGATTTCTTTAGTTCTAAGATTGACAACATCCGGCATCACATTCTTTCCACTACGCATATCATTTCCATACCTCCTCCCTCCTCATCCAACATCTCTGGTTCCCTTCTCTCCAGCTTCTCCCTTCTTGACTCAGCATCCCTCAATAAACTAGTTACATGCATGAAACTCACCACATCCATTTTAGATCCCATTCCCACCACTTTATTTCAGTCCTGTTTCTCTTCTCTCTGTCCCATTGTCCTCAATATTATACATCCTCAAAACTATATTATAGTCCTCAAAACTGCTGCCATTACCCCCCTGCCACAAAAGCCTAACATGGCTCTCGACTATCTTAACAATTTTAGCCCCATCTCCAACTTACCCTTTCTTGCTGAAATTCTAGAACATGCTGTCACACTTCAGTTACATAACCACCTCATGACAAACAACCTTTTCGAACCCCTCCAATCTATCTTCCGTCAACTTCACAGCACAGAAACTGCCCTGATCAAAGTCACTAACGATCTTCTAATAGTTTCCGATTCTGGTTCTCTTTCAATACTCATCCTTCTTGATCTCAGTGCTGCTTTTGACACTGTTGACCATAACATCTTACTTTCTCGTCTTGAGACTGTGTTTGGAGTTCCTGACACTGCTCTCAAATGGTTCAAATCTTACCTCACTGATCGCTGTCACTTTGTCTCTCTCAATGGGTACAGGTCCAAAATTGGTCTTGTTAAGTCTGGTGTCCCTCAGGGCTCAATACTTGGCCCCTTGCTCTTCAGCATTTACATGTTCCCTCTTGTTCAGCTTTTAAGATCACATGGCCTCAGCTTTCATTTTTATGCTGACGATACTCATACATCCATACCAAACCTGACACTGATGTGGCTGTCTCTATTCTATCTAATTGCATCTCTGACATAAAAATTTGAATGACTCAAAACTTCCTTCATTTTAACTGCGACATGACTGAAGTCATGCTTATTGGCACCCCCATCAACTTCGTAAAGCCAGTCCTGTAACCCTACCTATAGATGGTTCTGTACTTGAGCTTCAATCAAAATTGAAAAACCTTGGGGTTATATTCGATTCTGGCTTAACATTCAACCCACATGTGCAGCATACTGTCAAAACATCTTTTTTTTACCTTAGAAATATCGCTAGACTATGCCCTACGCTATCATTAACTGTGGCTGATCAACACATTTGTGTTCTCTCAAATTGACTACTGTTATGCTCTACTCGCTGGGGTATCTAAATCTACTCTGAACAAACTACAGTATGTCCAAAATTCAGCAGCCAGAATCCTGACCAGGTCTAGTGCAAGTGTTCACATTACTCCTATCCTGGAGTCCTTGCACTGGCTTCCGGTCAAATTCCGTGTAGACTTTAAAATCCTCATGCTCACCCATAAGGCTCTGCATGGCTTGGCACCTCAGTACCTGTCTGAACTATTATCGACCTACTCCCCACCTCACAACCTTCGCTCTTCTAATTCTGCTCTCCTTACTGTCCCCCAAGCCCGTCTACATTGTATGGGTGACAGGACCTTCTCCTGTTATGCCCCCAAGCTCTGGAACTCTCTCCCCAAGGATATCAGAGAGTCACCTTCTCTAAACTCCTTCAAATCCAGACTCAAAACCCTCTTCTTCAGAAAAGCCTTTACTTAACTGGTTCCATTCTTCACCCCTCTGCTTTTCTTAGTACCACCATCCACGGTCTCCTCTATATATTGTAATTGTGTTTTATCTTGTGTATTCTTCTTATTTATTGTTGTTGTCTTCCCGTAAAGCGCTTTGAGACGCCACCTTTAAAGGCGCTATATATAATAAAGTTTATTATTATTATAAAGAACAGGAGGCACTTATTTACCCATAGGCTGGCGAGAGTGTGGAACAAGCTGCCCAGCCTCATTGTTGAGGCTGATATCCTGGTTTCGTTCAAAAAGAACGACTGGATGAGATCGTAGATCAATAACTACCCAACAGGTCATATGGGCCAAATGGCCTCCTCTCGCTTGCAACCGGTCTTAGTTTCTCATGCGAGGCACTGGCTAAGCATGTAAAGATCAGCAGCAACAAGCAACAACAGAGACACTGCTATAGAGCACCATCTGACAACAGGGTCTCACCGTTCATCTCCCGCATGGCACGGACGTAGTCGTTGGGGTCTTTGAAGCTGACGAAACCGTAGCCCTTGGTCTTGCCCGTGCGCTTGTCCCGCACGACCTTGGCCTTGAGGAAGGAGGGGTAGCGGCTGAAGGCTCGGCCCAGGATGTCGTCGTTCACTTCGTTCCCCAGGTCCCCACAAAATATCCGGAAGTCATCTGAGAGAAATTAGTGGATTAGGAAGAACAGGTAAGTTCTAGTTCTGAATGTTTTCCGCTGTATTTTTTTTTAGTTGGTGTCCAATTATGTTCGGCTACACAAGGGAAACACCTTGCAAGGAGGGAAAGTATAATCAGCAGGATTTGTGATCCAGACTCCCTAAACTTATGCTATGTTTTCTCTGTTGGTACACTATTTTTTGGGGTTTGCTTTAACTGGTGTGTCAGTAAGTCCATTGCGGGCCTGCTGTATCTGTATATATCGGTGGAAGCTGTCGCTTGTGTTGGAGTGAGTGTCAGGATATACCTGGGTCCCACTCCAACAGGCTCTGGTCTTCCCAGGACGTCCCGGCAGCAGTACGGATACAGCGCTTCACCTTTTCTTGCTTCCCCTTCTTTTTGTCTTCTGTGCTGCCATCTACTGGCTGGAGGAGTCAATGACAGCACATCTGTATTGGCAGCAGTAGTGGCAGTACCACCGATGTCCCTACTGGATTACCAGCTAACAATATAATAATGGTGTGACAAAGGGATCTCTGTCACCGTCAACGGACAGTACAGTACACAACACACGTTATCCTACTTAGATTACACACATTCATTTTCCTGTTACCTAGCTCGGCTAGCGGATTCTCATTTCATACACGCAAAAACATAACCACATTTACTTCGGAATCAGTTCTGGTTATTTGTAGAGAATCAAACACACACTCTCAAGTAGTGCTGAGCGATAATTCGATAACGATAATTATCGCAATATAATTTTCCACGATATAATTTTAACAAAAGTTCAATAAATGTTCGAGATATGTTTATGCTTTGCGCATGATATGCGCATGCGCACAAAATACTGCACTAGTGCGTGTGCGTGTTGCAGACTGGGCAGCTAACGTAGTGTTGTTTATCCACACGGTGGTGGCTGACAGGATTGTAGTTAGAGTGGAGAAATGAGCGGCACTGAAGCAAATGTAGTGCTGCCAACGACCAGCTTGAAGGACGATGAAATCATCGACAGAAAAGGTCATTCAACTTCGGTAATTTGGAGATATTTTAGCTTTTTACGATCAGACATAAAACAGAGATCTTTAAACATAACAGTTTGTCTGAGCCATCTTCTATGTTCGTTTTATCACACTGCAGTATTTCATATTTCTATTAAGATTTTATTATTAAATTTTACTCATGCATATTTTGACATAAAAAAGATGTGAATACTCTCTACCTCAGATTTGTTTAATGTTTCTGCTGTTTGGCAAGTGTTTGTTGTGTTCTTAAAATAAAGAGTTGTTTAATTTACCAATTAACTTGTTTCTTCAACTTTCACTCAGGAGAAAAAATCTCCCTTTAAACTTGAAAGAAATAATGATTTGACATTCATCGTGATAATTATCGATATCGACTGATATGAAAATTTTTATCGTGATAATGTTTTTGGCCATATCGCCCAGCCCTACTCTCAAGGATAAATGTGCTTAGCTGTGTGAGAGAGTGCTCTGTCCGTTTGTCTTTTTTCCATGTTGGGGTAACTCCACATCCTGGGTAGCCTGACTTCCGGGTATGGTGGCCTCATGGGTCCAAACCCGAACCCTGTTCTCGATTGGCTTTGTAGTGTCAACGCTGAGTGATGCATGCGCATATCTTCCGGTATAGGAAGTACCATTTTGTATAGATACAGATGAGTAAAATGTTTTGTTTGTGATTCTTTATTTTATTTGTATATTCTGTATAGTCTATTGTTAAAAGATTATGAATGGATTGTTATGTGGGGGAAATGATCAATTTAATGAGATGATAAGTTTAACTTTAATGTAAGAATGGTAGGGTCCGAGGGGGCTCCTTCGTTAGGCCAGGGAAGAGTTGGCTGATAGGACTTGAGTTTAGTGGGACTCCTGGCTTAAATCTCTCGGAGGACGGGTTTGTGCATTTTTGTGTATTTTTGTTCTACTTGTTATTTTTGCACTATATATAATTGTTTATTGGTTTGTGGGGAAGCACTGTCCAAATAAACCACCACTTTTGCACCTAAGTGCTATTGCGGCTGAGCCTTCATTCTATATTAAAAGAACTCACTTGGGAACCCCTCCACCCCTCCCTGTGACAAATTGCTTGCGAGCTGTCTAAATTCCTCTTAAAATAATGGTACAATAAGTTATCTTTTCTTCGCATTTTAGCTTCTACTCCTGCCCCTTAAATTATCACTCCCTCCATTATATCATATTTAGAACCCAGCAGAGTTTAAATTTGCCATGGAATCTCAGAAGCAGCAATCAACAACAAGCACAGCAATATTAACACAGTACCTACCAGACTACTCCAATTTGTTTGTTTTGTTTAAAGAGTTTCCTTGACATTTCTTCAGTACAGTGCCCCTCCCTTTAAATTTAAACAATACCAACACCAAATAATGGTCGTTGACAATGCCTTCATGATTTTGTTCTTTACAATTATTACTGTAGTGTCCATCTACATTCAATGTTGCCTCTCTTGCACTCAAACACTCCAGCCTTACAACCACTCTCCACCCCCCTCACTTTCTCAGCTCATACCTCGGTGTGTGCGGGCTCAGGCTCCGGCATGCTGGGACCGATAACGGCTTCTTCCACTGTGGCCTCCTTCTCTTCCAGTGTGGCTCCCACTGTCGCTGCGTGCTGCTCTGCAATCGAGGCTGTGAGCTCGTCCTGCGGGGAAAGATGGAACACATCGGCATGCAGAATCAGGGGGACACCCTGTTACAACAACCCCTCCAGCATTGTCCCAGTGGCCGTGCCACATCGGAAACAGGAGCACGGCAAAAAAGAAATGAGACCAACGTCCCACACCCAACTGATGTGATGTTTTTAAGAAATCCCAGTTTTCTAAAAGATGCATTATTCACAATGATTCATAAAAGAGAGAGGCAAAGTGGCACAGTGGTCAGATGTGCTACCTTGCAGACCTGCTGTCAGTGTGGAGTTTGCATGTTCTCCCCCATGTTCCCTTGGTTCCTCCAGGTGCTCCGGTTTGGATCCACAGCCCAAAGACATGCTGGTGGGTTAACTGGCTTTTGGGAAAACTGGTCCTAGCGTGAGTGTGTGTGAGTCTCTGTGTGTGTCTTGTGATGGACTGGTGTCCTGTCCAGGGCGTACTCTAACTTGTGCCCTTGTTTTCTAGGATAGGCTGCAGCTCCCCCGTGACCCTGTACTGAATAAAGCAATTAGAATATGTATGGATACATAAAAGCATTATCCACTTTTGCTGGTGAATACACATGTGCAGGTTCAGAAGTGAGTGAAAGAGATGTGGGTACCATGCGCGCCTGCTTTTGCGCATGGCTGTCCACCCTCTTGGGGGCTGGGGGTACAGTGTAGACAGTGGGCGCGGCCTGGATCACGGTGGGCGTCAGCTTGGGGGGGGCCTGGACCACCTGCCTGGACACTGGGACCATCGGTGCCATCGCACCAACCTGAGAGCAGAGAGAGAAAACATCAGGAAGAGAAAGGAAAAGAGGTGGGTGAGGGAGAGACAGAGAGCAAGAGGGAAGGGGAAGAGTTAGAGAAAGGAGTAAGAAGAAATATTCCAGCGAGAGAAAACGGAGATGAATAGACCCATAGGAAGACATGAGTGAGAGTCGACACAGAGAGAAAGGTAGAAATGGAAGGATAAAGGTTGAAGTTGAAAACAATTTTAAAAGGTTTAAAAGAGATGGGAGGGGGAGAAATCAGAGAGCAGTGAGGAGAAGTGAAAAAGGAATGAAGGGATGAGAGTTTGTGATAGAGAAAACTCAGCAGGAAGGAAGTATGAGAGAAGGAAAGGAGAAAAGGGAGAGAAAGAGTAAGTTAGTTATCAGGGTGTTTTAGAGCTCAACATATTCATCACACTTTAAGAATTTTGGGCGCAGATGTTTGGTCAGGATACTGAGTAAATATCTTAGGTAACAACAATAAAAGCTGTAACGAATACACAATAATGAATGACGTTCAATTCTGATCTTCCCTTTAGAACCTGAGCACACTCTCTCTACTGACACTCATATCTGCAGGCTGTGGAGCTGCCCATCTGCCAAATATCACCAGCTCTTACCTCGTTTTAGATTTTCATCACAGAAAGTGGTTCTTAAAGCAAGAGGCAGCAATATAGTTACACGTGTGCATATACAGTACAATATTATACAACACACAGCTGCAGAAGATGCAATTTTAAAATTATCTGAGCAGCGTTTTCTACAGCATGCAAAGCCTGATGTGACAGCAGTGCTGGTGCACTTGCTTATTGAGTTTTTAAAAAAACAGCCGCAAGACCCACCGGAGGCATCGTGCCCATAGGTCCCATTGCACCCAAGTGGCTCATGGGGTGCTGGTGGGGGCCTGGCATCGGGGGTCCCATCATCATGGGTGGCGGAGGAGGGGGGCGGGGCAGCGGAGGAGCCATCATGGCCTGGGGATGGGGGCCCCTCATCATGGGCATCCTTTGACCTCCTGGAAGAGATGCAGGGAAATCCAAGTTAGGAATTTAAGGTAAAGATAGGTAGCAGGTGCACTTGTCATCAACTGCACCCGTTTGGATTTGGTTAGGTGGAGGTTACAGGTTAGATGACAAAGTTGTAAAGAAAAGGTATCAAGCAAAGCAGATGTCTTACCAATCTTTTGCTTGACCAGTTTTTGCTGGTTTGCTTTTGATGTCAATAATGTAATATACCTGCAGAGCAGTATATCGCCTTTCAGAAAAATCAATACAAGATATTATTGTGCTCTGTTCCACCCATCAATGACTCAAGCACCAAATTACCAGTATGGCCCAACAGCTTGCACAATACCGAAATTAAAAACACAAGCTGTGGCTCACGTTAACTTCAAAGACGCTGGGTTAGGGGCTTCCAAAATTTAAGACAGAGATGTTTAAAACAGTGTTTAATTTTTACAGCTGTGACCTGATAAACTTATTTACTTTAGCCAGTTAATTACCCTCATAGTACCTGGATTTTGGGGGAGCTGATCAGCAGTATAACTGAACACCTATGGCTAAACTGAACACCTATGGTTTTTCTTGCCACAACTGTGGGGGAAACGCCTAACAATCTGTTTAAATATGATTACCGATGTTTTAAAAACACCTAATTAGAAACAAGCAATTGTTGCAAGACACGCCTCCCTCTGATGACACACGCACCTTGATGGGGAGAATGAGGAAGGGCTGACAGGCTCCTCTTACCCACCTGAGTTCAATCTGTGACAGGCAGGTACCTCTTAGAGCAGCTGGAAGGTGAAGTCAGAAATACCATTCTAGTGCCTATGGCAACCTGTACGTTGAACCTCAATGTTAATCCTAAATGTATGCTCAAAAGGCTTCTCTAAACCAAGAAGAAATTGAAACCGAGAGAAATGTTCTGAACTATAGAAGCTGCTTGTAAATGTTTGGGCAAAAATAATGTCAAAAGAGAAAAAAAAAACAGTTTTTGCATTTTTTTTTTCTGGAAATGGCCTTTTTCCAAAAAAAAGATTAAAACTCTTGTTAATCCTTCACTGAACTGGGCCAGGACTTCTTGTATCCCCACATGTCCACTGATATGCCACAGTTTCACGGGGTGTCCTGAAAGCCCCCCAGACGCATGAACCCAGAAACTAGCCACATGACACCCTGAAGGCCGAGGCCGGACTCTGCGATTGTGTCAGGTCGGCGCCTTTATCAGTCGGGCTGTCCTGGAGCCCCAAAACATGCAGAATGTTCTCTAAGCTCAAAGAATCGAAAGCAGGATGATCCATAGGACCTGACACAGTTACAGATATGTCATTCATGCAAATATAACCAAAGATGGCAGACCAAAGTATTCAGAGTTAATTCACTGCCAAGAATACTTTCCAGTTGTTGTTGTTTTTTATATCCATTAGTAAGGAAAATATACTGCACAAATACGCTGTGTTTCTTCAATATCCTTCTTTTCTTGAAGCACAATGGTAAAGTCCACACAGTGGAATACAGTCTGGCTTGGGTAAGCGGCGTGTGTCAGTTCCTGTGGATAAGTGTGTGTCTCAGGGGCGTCGTCCTGCAGGCAGGGTTTCCAAGTACCTGTTCTCTGCAGGATGTGGGGGACGAAGGCAGGTCTCATCACAGAGGGGGGCCTGGTAGGGGGTACAGCTGCAGGGACAAGATCAGGAGCCAGGATCGATACATTTTTTTTTAAAAACAGTGCTTTAACACAACCATCAGCATGTTACCAGTGACTTCCTGTACACCACATTGAATGGTCCTGACAGTTTTCTCCTCTTTAAATATATACTCACAATAAAAGGCTCACATTTGGGATCTCGGCAGTCCTGCTTTGCTTCTGTTATCATTTGTCCCCAGACACTAACCTATCAGTAGGTCACACCTGCATGCCCCCCGTCTCTCTTGGCTCTTACCTGGCCCCACGAATGCTGGAGGTGGGGGACCCACGATGGCGGCAGCCCGTGCCTCCAGGCTCTGCTGGACCTGGGAGAGAGGGAGAAGGTTAACAGGGAAAGGGTCGAGGTGTCAACATTTCCAGCTTCAAAACGAAGGGAATGTCCAGATTCTGTGATCAAAGAAATCATCAAGTTTACCTTGGTTCACCTTAAGTATTACGTAAATGATTAACTGTTAATCAACAGTCCATATAGAAACCATACAATATCAGATCAAGACAGAGGAATAAAAGATAAAGAAAAGGACAGACCACAAGAGAGAGAGGAGACAGGAAGAGAAGGAACTTGAAGCTTGGGTCATCTGAAAAGACCCAATTGGAGCCGAGTATTTGAACCTCTGTTCAAGTTGTATTGCATTTAGTTTAGAAGGCAGCTTATTTTCTTCTTTGGCCTCTGTAGGGATTATTTAAGGGTCAAATACTTGGTAACAGTCTGGGGTTTTCTGGATAGTCTAGATGCAGGTCTCTGAAATGCCTTGTGTTTAGAATTGCACAAAGAGAAAACATAGTGTTGTATGTTTATGTTGTGTGTAGTGTACTGTCAATGTTAATACATATTTGTTTAACCAAGCATGCCTGAATTATTACTCTTTTCATCAAACCTGTGCCAGAGCATAAAGAATTCACATGCCTCTACCTATACCAACCACTTGGGTATATTCTTGGAAAAATCTTTACAAGTAGGGGGTTATGATTAATTATTTTACTTATTGAATAAGCCACTCGGTCAGCTCCTGCTTATTCTCCATTTTTGTAACCACTCTTTTGCAACAACAGTAACAAAACAGACTTTACAGCACTAGGTGACAGTGCAGAATTATCAGCCTGGACCAGACTATATGGTAGACTGCACACGTCACGACGTGCAGTAAGGCGACCCACCTGCTGGTAAGTGTTGGTGGCGATGATGGGCCGCACAACTGGAACAGGTGGTGGCACAGCAGGTATGGCAGGCACAGCTGGCACAGCCAAAGCTACGGGGATGGCCTCCACCACAGGAGCCACAGCTGGCACTGACACAGGGGCACCCAACACCTCCTGCTCAAACCTGGAGAAAAAAGTATAAAGGGCCTCACTATAGAACTGAGTCCTGGATGAGGCACAGATCTACAGCGGGTTCTAGTATATCAGGAAAGTGGAGGTGCTGGATGTCTTATCCTTGTTACTTTATTTTAAGCATAGCTGCCCAGATGGACATTATGTCTTAGAGCATCTGTACTCAACCAAATCACTCATAGAATTGAGTCACCAGGGGCCTGAGTGGGTAAAACTCAAAAACAGCCTTTGTCATGGAGGAAGAGGAAGAGTATACCCACAGCGCCATCTCAGCCTCCATCTCCTTCAGACGGTCCTCTCCAGTCTTGACCGCCATTTTTCATCGAGTCCTGAAAACAGAGACAAACCAAATCTGCAATGGGTTCAAACAGAGTGCAGGGTTCAGTCAGAACAAATATTGTTCTTCATGTTTACAATGTAATTCTCCTGATGCACCTCCTTGATCTTTAATTAGCTGACTGAGGTCCTTGAAGAATGAGTAACAATTTGTGAAGCCTTATATTCTGAAGCTAGAATGCATTCTGTGCTGGTGTTGAAATATACCAATGCTTTTTCCTAACACAACATTTTATCCTTTCTATGATGAAACAGAAGTGTTGATTGCAGCTTGAAATTATTATTTAAATTATTAAAGGGAATTTATGGCTGTGGGCATCAGAGTATGATTTTGCAGAGACTGACTTCCTCCCAGGGCCATTTGCAATAAACTTATTTCAAAACTACACCCTTCTGCACTGTGAATTCTTACATCCCCACCACAGGTTTCGAGAACGGAGCTACTCTGCAACATGTCTGTTCACACGGACCTGTGAAACAGGGACAGCAGCTGATGGAGGTGCTGGGGTTCCAGATTCTGCTCCTGGCTTTTGTACCAGCCCAGCACTCAGCTACACAACTGAACCCTTACTGACTTAACAGGAGGATTCATTTGAACTCTCAGATGGTTTTCAGCTATTAAAGAGGTTTTTTTTTCTGTATTGCATTTCAGAAGTAAAGTAAAACTTTTGAGTAGAAAAATAAAACTTGCAAATGTTCCAAACAAACAACACATCAGTTCAATGAAGGCCTCAATCAAGTAATGAAGCTGGGCTGGAATAAAAACCAGCAGGTGTGTGGGCCTGCAGGACCGGAAGTGGGACCCCTGAGCTAATGGACAAGACATCTCACGTGAATCAAACACTGTGTTGGAATGTCCAGGGCTTCAGGGTGGAAGGAGACCTCAGTAACAGCACTGTGGTCGGGGGACACCAACACACATTTCTCACAGAGAAGAGTCAATTTCAGCTTCCACGCCCCTCAAGCAGATTAGTGCCAGAAAGCTGCTCATTTTAGAGAGGTTCTTGACAGGCTGGTGGTGCCAATCTCAGATCCACAAGGAGGCAGCAATGAGGGCAAACACCCCGTCTCCCCCAAACCAGATGGTTTGCACCTCAATGGCAGAGTCATGCAAAAGGCAAGACAATTTGTAACAATCAAACAACACCCCCCCCCCACACACACAAATGCTTACTCACTCACTTCACTGATCTAATGAATTATAAAAAAGGAAACTCCAGCCCAGGACTCCTGTGCCTCCCGACATGCGTTTTAAATCAACACATTTCAGGAGCTCTGAAAGGACAAAAAGAGCAAAATCCATTTATTTTTTACAATAGGTAAGGTAAAAAAAATTAAATAGTAAAAAAAAACAGAAAATCCCCCAGATGGTGAATCCGATTCCACTGCCTCAGACTAGGCATGATGAGACACAGCTAAAGATGAAATTGGAAACAATATATCTCCCGAGTTCGCTTTATATCGAGGGAATGTACAACAGCCGTGTACACGGGCAAAGGCATGCGGTTACACTACTTAATCTCAATGGTTGGTGTAACCCCAATGCATTCACACGTGAAGACAAGGCTTTCTGCTTAGAACCGTCGACACAAAAAGAAAGGAAATCAGGTCTTACAGATTATGGAAAACTTCGCTTCATATTGGGAAATATTTTCAACAAAACTAGGATTAATCCCCAATCAAACTGTAAAACACAGTATTACCACAAAAGTAATATGCATGATATTTCTGATGTTATTAATTTAAAACCTTTTCATATAAACACAATTATCTGCTGTATTTGATAGAAGTACAGTCACCAATTTCCCACTCCCACTCCGACCGGGCCGAATCAACTCGAATTTGCGTTTCCCTACAATCCTAAAAGTGTTTTCTGCGAAATATGCTAGACTCCCAAAACCGTCACCTTAAAGACGACTCTAATCCGCTCTCCAAACAATAATCAAAACCATTTTCGGCAGTTTCGTTTCCCCGCAAAAGATTAATTCACATACTTTTCTTGCCGATTGTTTTCAGCTTTCCACCACAGTTCGTCTATGGCGCGAACAATTGACGTCACTTCTTATCCAATACGTCATCGCTGCGCCCAAACTGTGTCCCAAGACACTCGCTGTCTCTCTGAGGTCTGCAGGGGATCAGGTGTCCCCTTTCTGACTTTAGCGCCCTTCTCTGAAGTCCGCATCGGGGCTGGAGGGAATCATTTTTTAAGTTTTTATTTTAAACATAAAAAAAATACAAAATAGGAGATAACATTAAAACAGACACAGAAATAGACACACTTCACAGCCAGAGGAATTCACAATTTTAAAGGCTGAAAATTAATCTTTTTACATATTTCCATAGTATGTCTTGCCTTTTGATTCTTTAAATTTATAATAATTTAAATAATTTAAATTTTAAAAAGGAATTCTACCTTAAAAGCATTTATAAAAGCATTATGCTATACCCCTCATACGCCACTGCGGTAGCTCGCAGAAGGACTTTTACTTTGAAACAGTACATACACTTCCGGATCATTCTTCTTTCTACACGCTGCTTGCTTTCTTTTCTGGTTGGATGCTTTAGTAGACGCACGTTGTAAGTTTTTCTAATAGAATTTGTGGATGCAGTATATATAAAAGATAATAAAATGCAGTAATAATTATATTAGGTACTTGTGCAGTTCATATTTTATACCTTCTTGTATCTCCTTTTGGAATACTATGTTTAGGAATATAAATAAAAATATGTTAAAAAACGTTTTCCTAATAGAATAGCAGACATATTTATCCTTGTTTTTCTCAATTTTCTATTAACTTTCTCTTTTGTATTC